TACGTTCATGTTTTAACTCAATAAGGGCGCACACTCAGACAAGGACACTAGAACAGGAAATTGAACAGACCAAGAGCGCCTACTCGCCACTAAAGTTTATTCGAAAGAAAGGTAAGTACATATATATACCACTTCTGTCACATGGCCTGGCAAGTGACAAAAAAAAAAGACACGTGCTTGAGATCAGATTGTCAGAGTGCTCATGAGGTATGAAAACTCTTTTTATGTCAACGTGATGGAGGGTGCGCTTACTCGTTTCTTCCCACTTCTCCTGATGTGAAACGCCTCTATCAGCTCTCTGGTGGTATGATCTGGTTGTTTTGATAATACACTAGCATCACAAAAAAAAGAGCGGTTCCAACAACACGAGCTGCAATGTTTGGGCAAGTGTAAACTATCTTTGGTGTCCAACGGTTTCATATGCTCTTGCAACCTGGCGTTTACACATCTTCCCGTCTGACCTATGCAGATGAGACCACAGGAAAAAGGTGCCAAATATACAACACCTGTTTCACACTTAACATACGACTGTCTATGATTCACATCGTATCATCCCCGTTTTCCACCCTTAGCGGTTGGAGCTAGTTTTCTATCAATTCCATTGCAAAGATTCTTTAATTTGTTTGGGGCTGGGAGAACTACTTCAACGTCATGTAAATCTGCAACGTTTTTTATACCATGTGACAGCTTGTGCATGTAGGGGATGACAGATGGTTTTTAACTGGTTCCTTTATTTTGTCATTTTCTTGGGCTTTCGTTTTTACTTTTTTAAGTAACTTCTGCTTTGGTATGACATTGGTGTAGTTTTCTCGGCCCCAAACAAATTAAACAAGCTTTGCAGCAGAATAGATAGAAAACTAGCTCCAACCGCTAAGGGCGGAAAACGGGGATGATACGATGTGAATCATAGACAGTCGTAAGTTAAGTGTGAAACAGGTGTTGTATATTTGGTACCTTTGTCCTGTGGTCTCATCTACATAGGCCAGACGGGAAGATTTGTAAACACCAGGTTGCAAAAACATATGAGATCGTTGGACACCAAAGATAGCTCACACTTGCCCAACAAACATTGCAGCTCGTGTTGTTGGAACCGCTCTTTTTTTTTGTGATGCTAGTGTTTTATCAAAACACCCAGATCGGACCACCAGAGAGCTGATAGAGGCGTTTCACACCAGGAGAAGTGGGAAGAAATGCGTAAGTGCACCCTCCATCACGTTGACATAAAAAGAGTTTTCATACCTCATGAGCACTCTGACAATCTGATCTCAAGCACGTGTCTTTTTTTTTTTTTTCGTCACTTGCCAGGCCATGTGACAGAAGTGGTATATATATGTACTTACCTTTCTTTCGAATAAACTTTAGTGGCGAGTAAGCACTCTTGGTCTGTCCAATTTCCTGTTCTAGTGTGCTTGTCTAAGTGCGCGCCGTTATTCACTTAAAAGATGAACCAATACCAACTAGCCCATTTATCCGTGCTTAATGAATAAGTGCTGAACCTACGAGTGATTGGAAGCAGGCTAAGACCACGCCAGTACCGAAAACTGATGACCATTCACCTGTATCAGAGTTTAGGCCTATCTCCTTGCTATGCAATAGTGTAAAAATTCTAGATCATATAATATTCAAGCATATGTCTATGTTTGTAGAAAGAAATAACCTAATCACGCCTCTTCAGCACAGATTTCGCAAAGGATATTCTACGGTAACCCAGCTTATCGAGACGTTTCATGAACTGTCAGCAGCGATCATTATAAATGGTCAAGTAGATGTTATTTTATTGGATTCTGAGAAACCTTTCGATCGTGTGAGTCACCATAAATTACTAATTAAGCTCAAACCAATTCTAAAAAATGAGGAATTACTTGCGTTGATACTGCTTATATCTCAATGATAAGCCAGTGTCTTGCCATTGATGGTATCACCTCGAGTTTTGCCCCCATGAAGTCAGGTGTGCCTCAAGGGTCAATTTCGGGATCATTGTTTTTTCTGTTATTTATTAATGATATTGCGCTAAGCTTACCCGTAAAAATAAATCTTTTCGCGGACGATTGCATACTATATCAGGGAATTCATAGTTACAGTGATCAAGAATCTTTAAATGCTGCATTAGCAATGCTAGAAACGTGGTGTGAAAAATGGCAGATGAAAATTAATTATAAAAAAAACAGTAGCAATGCGAGTTACGCGTAAGAAACAACCACTTCTATTTACCTATCACATCAAGGATTATGCGTTATCCGAAGTCACTAAAGATAAATATTGAGGACTAATACTGACATCAGACTTAAAATGGAATGAATACATAGCATATATTGAAAGAAGGGCAGTGAAAAAGCTTGCCTATATGCAAAGGAGGCTTGTGAATGCCCCACCGCACATCAAACGTATCGCATACAGAACTTTCATTAGACCAGTATTAGAATACGGAACTGCAGTGTGGGATCCCTTAATGGGTCCAATATTAAAAAAACTAGAAATGGCCCAAAGAATATCTGTACGATTTGTGTTTGACTTTTATAGTTGGCGCACATCACCTTCACTTATTCTAATTAAAGCGGAGCTCGAAAAACTACAGGAGAGAAGAAGAATGGGGAGTCTGAAGCTTTTTTACCTCATTTGCCACAACGAAATTGGAATCAACAAAACAGCGCCCATTACACAAACAAGTGAATGTGCTGTGCGCTCATATCATTCAAAGAAAGTTGTAGATTACGCAAACCACACACACACATTCAGGTATCCTTTTTTCCAAGAACTACCCGTGAGTGGAATTGCCTATCACCCAATATTGTAGAGTGTCCAACAGTCAATTTATTTCTACATGCTCTCAACAACCACAAACAAAATTTTTTTGTATAGTCATGCAGCCCAGAGTTACGCAATGCTTCCATTTTTATCAGTATGTTTCAGTCAGTAAAACCATGCCATTGTTGGAATGTTTTTCTTTTGTTTTTCGCAAACTACTACAAAAGTGTTGAGTTGTATGCTTCTTTTTTTGCGTTGTACATTATGCCTTCCGTTTGGCTTTTTACAATTATTACCACTGTCCTTATGTTGTGTGATGTTAATGATGTTTTTGCAGTAAATAGTTCTGTATGCCCATTCCTGCTTAAGACCTGGTAAGCAGGTCAGCAGTATGTAATAAATAAATAAAAAATAAATAAATAAGGGCATGATTCATACTTCATAGGCGTGTGCACGGTTCTCCATTAGGAGGAGAGGACATAGGTTTAATCACATCGCCCCCCCCCCCCCCATTGGTCGAGTACGAATGAGCTCCGCGTGTGAAGCGAATATTAAAAAAAATGGATCGAAGACAAACTTCTCAGAGAGGCGTCACATTAGTCCCTGGTTTTGGTGGATAGTAAGCAGTTCTTTGAATGAAAGATATCAGTGTCCTTAGTCGCGGCTATAGCCTAGAAACATAAAAACAATGACTTGAAAGGTCCTATGCAGTACAGGCATGGGACAGAATTAGCGACCCCTTCAGATGTACTGCCACCTTCCCGCATGACTCCTTTCCAGAACACAAAATGCAACGAGCACAATAAAGAAACGATTGGTAAACATTTCCTCAAACACAGCCGCACAGCGTGAAGTACGTGACTTTTGTTTAATTTGGTCTCCGCGTATCCCAGGTGGGTCCGCGAAATACCATAATATTTTGAGCGTATATTTTGTGCCGTTTTGACAGGTTTGGTGTATGAAGTGGAGCAGTCTTTTGTGGAATCTTATCGTGTATCTTTAGCGGTTATAAGTGATCGCGTCAGTTTAGCGAAGGCCGGCTTGCAGGAGGTGATGGGAGCGTTCCGACTCTCACCCTTGGCACATCCACATAAGATACCATGCATCTGCTTACATCACAGTGGAATAAAGCAGTATGGGCATTTAGCACTCATGGTGAATGCGACCAGTTCCACATTGAGATGACAGCTGGTGTAAGGCCCGAAGCCTCCTAAGCCAACACCACCTTTGCGCGACGCCTTTTGCCCCTTAAGTGAAGAGGAGGCGAGGGGGGGGGGGGGGGTAGGGAGGTTCGGCAGATAGGATAGCATAAGAGCAGGTGTATCCCTTCAGACAAAACGTTGATGGGCTCGGAGTGAGTGGAGGGGTAGACGTGCAAGATGAATGGATGGAAGATCCGTATCAGGAGGGCAATGTGCCTGCTGGTCTGCAGCAATACTGAGTGTTCACAACATGGTAATTAATACAGTGTACTCAGATGCAGGTCGCCCCGCCGCGGTGGTCTAGTGGCTAAGGTACTCGGCTGCTGACCCGCAGGGCGCGGGTTCGAATCCCGGCTGTGGCGGCTGCATTTCCGATGGAGGCGGAATTGTTGTAGGCCCGTGTACTCAGATTTGGGTGCACGTTAAAGAACCCCAGGTGGTCAAAATTTCCGGAGCCCTCCACTACGGCGTCTCTCATAATCAAATGGTGGTTTTGGGACGTTAACCCCACAAATCAACCAATCTCAGATGCAGGTCGATCCGTATGTTTCGTTTGTGTGCATACCACCAGGCCCATGCTAATTCCACTGGTATAGCAGCTCATTCAATCGTAAAATAGATTTTCAGTAGCAGTGTTCATCTGCAATGCTCGGAGTAACATACCACGCCTCCAGTACTTGTATGAATCAGTTAATTAAAAATATTGCGTGTTGCACTTCATAAATCCAGCGTATTTCTTAAGAAAACTTGCTCAAAAGCAATGATACCAGTCACTGCATGAGCTTCGCGCAACCAGTGCCAGATCCGTCACTAAATACACATTCTCTTAGAATGATAAACACGAACAATTATACAAGCAGTCTCTAACAAGTTGGCATCATGAGTAGGTTAGAGGAAGCGTCAGCACGTTTTCAGGAAGGGTTGGGAGATTTCGAGTGAGAACTTGCACACGCAAGGCTGTTCATAGATGACCTGAGTGTGTAGAAACTGGGCTATACGAAGTATGTTTGAGCTGTCTGTAAGATTCTCATTTTCTTCAATGGGCCGTCGCAGGTGCTGGGTGTTGCGGCGGTGTTCGTGCTCGTCTACTTGGGCTATTACCACCAGGAATCGGTGCACTTTCATTTGAACCACATGTACGCTCATGCGGGACATGCACACGCCCAGCACGTCGTCGCGCACAAGTACCTGCATGGTGAGCTCCCGTCTATGCATACTGTCTTATCATATATTGTCGGCGTTGACGTCACCATTCGCGAACGCGATCGGCTTCGCTTACTCTCGCAACGCCGGTGACAGGCGGGAAACGTACGCGCACACTAGCGGGAAGCATGCCACGACGGCTTCCAGCACGTCGGAACGATCGCGCGGCAAGCAGCGGCGCGCTGTCCGCATTGTCGGTGCCGCGAGATCCTCGAGGCGCGCCCAGCGCACGCACCCGCAGGCTCGCGGCTTCTTCTCGCCGACAGATGGAGAGAGGCGGCACGGGTGAGATGATGCCCACTTGAAGAATGGGCTCGATCGTTGCGAGTGATGGAGAGGGTGAAGCGAGAGAGAGCTGACATGCGGCGAGCGCGTGGCAGGCGAGGAAGAGAGACATCATCACGCACTGCTAGGAGGGCGTGAGCTACTTGGCATCGCTCCAGCACATGTGGCGAGGAGAGCGGTGAGGACGGAGGGACAGTGCTGCACAGGCTAGTCAAAGAGCCGCTTCGCATCTAGTAAGCAATGTTCTGATTTGTGGTGTTTAACGTCCCAAAACCACCATATATGAGAGACGCCGTAGTGGAGGGCTCCAGAAATTTCGACCACCTGGGGTTCTTTAACGTGCACTCAAATCTGAGCACACGGGCCTATAACATTTCCGCCTCCGTCGGAAATGCGGCCGCCGCAGCCGGGATTCGATCCCGCGACCTGCGGGTCAGCAGCCGAGTACCTTAGCCACTAGACCACCGCGGCGGGGTGCACTCAACTTTTTTGCTCTGCACCAGGTATTGTTAAACTGCTCTCCTGCAAGTGCAGCGCGCGACACCTTGTGCGCCTTTGGCAACCCTTAGATTAAATTGCACTAATTGAACTCAATACCATGCTACTCGGAAATCATCTTTGCTCTGATATCGTAATGGCTCATACCTTAAGAAATGAGCATTTATCTCAACGTTGGAAGTAAAGACACTGGCATAAGGACATTCGATGATTGATTGCGTTTTTTTTTTCCGAATCAAGGTGTCGGATCCTGCCTCGCGTACTGACGGTAATTAAGTGCATTTCGCACGGAATAGAACCGGAATTGAGTTTTCCGAAATATAGCACGTTTTCGCTAACGCGCTGTTTTTCAAACTTGAAACATAGTAAATCATAGCCTCGAATTTAACAATAAAGCGGCATTTTTTAAATGGCTCGACTGATTAGAAGTACGGTACCTTTATAAGTATACGCGCCTACTACAATTCTGTTCCATGAGATCTACTCTACAGCACAGGAACTGGTCCGCTCGCACTCTCACTGCGGCAGGGTGGAATCATTTTATTATCGTTATCATTTTTCTTTGCATTATCTTCACTCGGTTTCTACGACTCGGCACCCACCCGTGTTTGCATCACCAAGGAAAGATAACATTGGGGAGGCACGTATTTTGTATACATCCTTAATTTATACTAATGTAATATCATGATTAAATTAGTCGTCTATAGGCCTTAGTACGTGCTTTTTTTTTTTTCAAGTCAACGTCCACAATGCATTCTCTAGGTCCCCCTTTAGTTATCCAAAGCTATGGGTAGGCGAGGTGCAAAAGTGTGAACCATCCCACAATTTGTGAAAGAGAAGGCATAAGTTAGTGTAAAAACAAATTATCCCAGCGACACTAAAGGCAGAAACAAATTGTCCCTGCGCGTTGGTTCACGGGATCGAATCCCGGCTGCGGCGACTGCATTTCCGAAGGAGGCGGAGGTGTTGTAGGCCCGTGTGCTCAGATTTGGGTGCACGTTAAAGAACCCCAGGTGGTCGAAATTTCCAGAGCCCTCCACTACGGTGTCTCTCATAATCATATGGTGGTTTTGGGACGTTAAACCCCACATATCAATCAATCAATCGATTATTACGCAACCAAATGCACCTTACCGACTGCTGCGTGTAAGTCGCACTATTTTTGTGTCTTGTTTAAATTCCTAATTAGGCATGTCACGTGGTATTTTTTTGTATTTCGCCAGCATATCTGTAGTAGGCAGAAAAACACTAACACTTAATATGTATAAGTTCAAAACTTTTTTAATTGGACATTTTGCAAACCGATATACAACTTGCTCATTGCAATTTTTAGTCCTGATTTGTTGTTTAAAAAGTTAGTTCATAAAACATTCCTAATTAGACAGTTAGCAGGGCATAAAAAAAGCAGTGTTACTTACTCCATACAATAGTCAACAATATGCATCTAGTTGCTTCCTCACTGCGTCGGCATGTTTTCAAACTCTGTCGGTAAATTAAAGCTAGCTATGGCGCCCTGTATATGTACTTTTTTAGAGCGCTCCATGAAGACATCGTTTGTCCTTGACGGACGCCACCCCTTGAATGGGCACTAATATGACACGATAAATTAATTATATGCTTTCATTGCACTAGTGCCGTTAATTTCTACACTATAGGTTTAATTAGGGGTGAGAAAACCCGTGAAAACTTCATTTTTAAATTTTCCGCCGGGATCTCAGAAGGTAACGTTCTTCAGCACATATTTGTCGCACTGCGCGTTGCCGTCATTGTTACGTTCTTTGAAGCATCATTCCCCCTCGCAGGGAATGGTGTACCCAAAAACAGCAGCATGGCATTCTACTGGTTCAGAAAGTCCGCTGACCAAGGACACGCACATTCGGCGTACAACTTGGCCGTCGGTCATATGCAAGGATTTCCCACGGACGTGCAAAAAGGGTAAGATTACACGTCACTCTGCACGCGCCTATCACGTGCGACCTTTCAGGGTTTTTTCTGAGTTCAGGGGTGCTATGCAAGATAGCCTGATCTTCTCGGGCAGACGAGTTTGCTCCGAGCTAGAGTGTACTAGAAGTTCTGAGTGGGACGAGCAGCCGGCTCTGCACCTGCATCGTAGCGAAGCGCGGTTCGTTGACAGTTGGCGTGGCGGCGCTGCGGTCGCAGTGGATTGGTGGTGTTCGCACCGGCGGCACTGGTTTGGACGTGTTCCAAGTGTGTTCGTCGTCGCATTTACGTATTAGCTGCGGTGGCTCGTAATGTGTGCGTGAGCGCTGCTGCTGTTTCGTCTCTGTGTGCTACTGTGCTGTGGTGGGAGCCTTGAATGCCCAAATGAGTGAGTGCCAACGACTTCGGCATGACTAAAGCTAGGCTTCGCCATTGCTACGCGCCGGGATGCCGCACAGGCTATGCCGGCGTCAAAGCAGATAGGAAGCTGTCGCTTTTTAGCGTTCCAAAAGATGAACGTAGAAGAAAAATCTGGGAACGGAACCTCCATCGCAGCGACAAAGCTCTCGAGGAAAACTGTGCAGTGTGCGAGCTCCACTTCGAGGAACCGCTACATACTGCGTGACTACGTTCACATCATTGACGGCAAAGAAGTGAGAATCGCCCGTGGTGTTCCCGCGCTAACGCCAGACGCAGTGCCTACAATCTTGCCCAACGCTCCGAAATATTTGAGCACGAAACTGCCTCCTAAACGTGCCCCTCGTAAACGGGAAGCGCCTACCGTGCCGGGACCCCAGAATAGCAAGAAAGCTTGCACGAGTACGCCTGTCGACGATGACTTTGAAAGTCAAGACGACGTGCACGACGTGTCGACAGCGTCGTTGAAACTAGAAAACTTGCGAGAACTGAGGACTCCGTTCAAATATTGGTCGGTGCACCAATTCCCTGGCTATGAAGGCGCTGTTTATACACTGTCGCAGTTGGATACGTGCTCTGGCACTGTCACTTCAGAGAGGGCAGTCCTTTTTCACATGAGCGTGATCGAGCAGGCCAGTTACAAAACATTTCTGAACGGAAAGCCAGTCTCTGAAGGACTTGTGAGAACTGTATTGCAGGCAGAGGAAGCCCTTCTTCAAGCATCTAAATTTCTGAAATGTCCAGGTGCACTCAGCACTTCGTCTATCACCGAAGAGGATTTAACGACGAAGCTGCTGGGCCAGACAACTGTGTTAGACGGCTCATTCTACAACAAGAAGTGCGCAGGAACGACGGCTGCCGAAGGTAACCTGGAATCAAAGTCGCATGCAAAGTAGTGTTCTTTTGAATGCATCAACCGTTGCACGCTTCCCGAAATGTGTATGCTTCATGTAGCTTAATAGATGATTTAATTTCAGCACAAATATTGATAGAAAAATATTTGTGTTCACCTTTTTGTACAGCCTCGTAACATGGTCAGCAACATGTAAATCAGGCCGACCCCTGCAATACGTACATGCTAACATAGTTTTTACTGCATACTTATGCAATGGGATGGCTACCCATCACTCTAAAGGGACTTATTTGTGATGGAAGAGCAGTACTTACTTGCTTCGATGCATCTGGGATACTACATGTCTTGCTGTTATAGAGCCTGCATGCAACTTGATGGTCTAGTCTAGGTTTTGCTGCATTGCGTATGGAATGATATCCTGCTTTGTAATGACCGTAACCCCATACATAAAAATTTAGATGTTCTAGATATGCATGGTGACAAGGGATTTTTGGCCATTTCTCTAAGGTTGTCCACTGCAAAAAGAGGGTAATTTGTGACACGTTGCTTTTTTGTTGTTTAGGAGCACCATGCCTACCATGTCGCTACCTACGAAAGTCCTGCTGACACGACTATCTCGTCTGAGGAATCGTCGTCACAAACAAGCCATCACAGCAGCGCAAAAGCTTAGATGCGCATTACAAAGGCAAAGACGCTTGTGTAAGAAACTGTTGAGCTTACATGGCCAAATAGAAAGAATGAAGGCTCAAAATGCCAAAATAAAAATGGAAGCGCTAGAAGAGAAGATAGCCATGCTACCAGAAAAGCAGCAAGAGAGCGTGCGTCACTGCTTTGCAGCCTCAAAACGCAAGAGTACAAGAGGCATGCAGTTTACGAAGGAATGGATGCTTGAATGCATACTCATGAAGATGAAGAGCCCCAAGCTTTATAGGCATATCAGGAAACAAAATATCCTTGTACTTCCCAGCAACACTACACTAAAGAAGTACACAGCAGCGTACAAGACAGGCTTTGGTTTCTGCAGAAAAATGTTGGATACCTTAAAAGCAAAAACCAGCTCAATGGACTCCTTCAAACGTCATGGTGGACTTCTCATTGACGAGATGAAATTGTCGGAACACTTGTCTGTTGAGAAAACTGGTAAGCTGCGTGGCTTTGTGGATTTAGGACCATTCACACCTGCCAAGGACGCTGGCCTTCCATGCGACCATGGAATGGTTGTGATGTTTGTACCGTTTGCCGGAAAGTTTTCCCAAATCCTGGGAGTTTTTGCCGCAAATGGAAATGTAAAAGGGGAACTTCTGTGCAAAATTCTTGTTGAGGCGACAATTCTGGCAGAGCAAGCGGGACTCTTTGTACACTTTGTGACATGTGATGGGGCCACATGGAACAGGAAGATGTGGACGCTAATGGGTGTTCAAGGATCTGCCAGCAAGATTACATGTAAAGTCAAGCACCCTGTTGATGGAAAAAGGGAACTTCATTTCCTTTCAGACTTCCCGCATCTGATGAAGTGCCTACGTAACTCCCTGCTGAAGGGCGGCTTCAACACACCAGATGGACGGGTAAGGCTCTTTTTTTCTCTTGTGGAGTTGACCTTAAAAAGTCTGGGAAGTGACTCACCATGGCTTTCTTAATGCAGGTCTCTACATACTTCGTCAAAGAAGCCTTCAATCATGACAAGGATAATGTGACGCTGAAGGCAATGCCAGGGTTGACCGCTAGCCATCTGGAGCCAAATGTATTTGAAAAGATGCGAGTCTCCCTAACTTTTCAGCTCTTTGGTGACCATGTGTTGCGTGGTCTGCACCACTGCAAAGGCACTATAGAGTCAAGTTATGGAAAAGGAGCCATAGATGCGACAGAAGCATTCTTCAGGTATTTTGGTTGATTCAATCACAAAAATTATGACCTGCTCAGGCTGTTGCTGTTACCTTGTCTTCCTAACCCACGTACTTATGATAATCTCATGTTTCTGTGATCTATTTGTTTCAGAATGATGAATGAACTGATTAAGGTGATGACGTCCCGCTGCAAATCCGAAGCACTGTGGCCCAACTCAAGAGGAGTTGCCGCGCTGTCAAACTTCCTTAAGTACATAACAAAGTGGGAGCAGCACGTTGGCAACGGTGTTGGATTTATTAGCAAATCAACAGCTGTTGGCTTCCGGATGACGCTGTCTAGCGTACTGTCATTGCTGCAGTATGTCACGAAGGAGCTTCACTACCAGTACCTCATGACTGCAAAGCTAAGTCAAGATCCAGTGGAGAACCTGTTCGGGATTGTGCGGCAGTCATCAGGCTGCAATGATCATCCAACACCAGAGCAGTTCCTGATTACGGTCAATTGCCTCAGCTTTTATAGTTTGGCAAGACCAGTGAGTGGTAGCAGTGTGGAGCCAGTGGTGTTGACAGCACTTCTGGACACAGGGGATGCACAACTGCAACAAGCAAGCTTGCAAGAAACAATTGAAACGCATGTTGCACTAGGCGACCTCGACAGTCTGGACGATGCTGCCTGCCAGGAGCCAACTTTCCCCATTGAACATCACAGCCTCGTGCAAAAAAAAAAAAAAAAACAGCAACTCTCGTCTAGTTTACCACATGGCAGGGTATGTGGCCAAGAAGTGTGTGGAGAAGACTGGGTGTGATACATGCCGCACTCTCCTGCTTGTTCCGGCGTCAGAATGCAGAGCCGATACACAGGCTGCATTTACAAGTTTTTGCGACAAAGGTGGATTGCTTTATCCGTCAAAAGAGCTCTTTGAATTCGTCAACTACCTAGAGGGCGTCTTCACGGGCTGCTTCAGCATGAACCGCCTGCATGCCGACAGCATTTTGGACGTACTGTCACTTGTGAAGGGCAAAGACAAAATTATTGGCTGTGCTGCGCATGAAGCCGAAGTGAAAGCAAAGATTTTGCGATTCTACATTGTCACTCGTCTGCACTTCCTAATAAAGGGTGTCAACAAGGCAAAAGAAGAAAGGCGCAAAATGGCACAGCTTTTGAAAGTGCGCAGGTGCACATGACATCACAGGATTAGTCATAGCATCAGTTTTTGAGTGGAATGACATTTGGCTCTTGTGAATAAACACGTTGACCGGCATTTGCTTGTTCTGTTGACTCAAATGGCCGAAAATTTTGTACATTCGGTCCAAAGCCAATAAGGGTCCAGATTTGCAACAGAAGGCCCACTAGACCATAGTCAAGTGGGCCTTCTGTTGCAAATCTGGACACTTATTTTCTCCTAATTGATTCAATTACAGCAATCTTAGAAACCCTTGTTATCGGCCTTTAATTCTGTCAAAGCATTATTCTCGGTTATTCACTCTCACTCTGCACTCCCCACTTTGGTAGCCTACACCATAGCGTTTATTATAACATTTAAGCTCCACATTTTTTTTTGAAACCGTGGTTAAAAGCAATAAATTGTTTACAAGGTTAGCGCTGGTAGTTTATTTCTGTGTAGCACATTATCGGCATATCTGAGTAATCTTGCGTGCTGTCGCAGCATGCTCAAATATTTTAAGTGATTGCAATAATTAAAAAGGATACTAAAGTATCACGGACAGTTTCGAGGGGTGTGCGAAAAGCTGTGCAAAAGTAGTACGTCAACGGCAGCTATCACTCTCGGGCGTTCAGACAAGCGAACGACTGCCGCTGAAAATTTCCATGATAGAAAATTAGCGCACTGACACCGCATTCACTTCTAATTTATACAGTT